GGAGGGAGGATGAGGGGAGGAGGGGGGGGGAGGGCTGGGGAGGAGCGGTTGCAGGTCCCGCACTCACCGGCAGACGGCACACACGAAGCAGCTGGGGTGGTAGGTCTTGCCCAGCGCCGACACCACCTCACCCTCGATGAACTGGTCGCAGCTAAAGCAGCGGGTCCCGTACAGTCTCTGGTAGTCCTGGGTGCAGATGTACTCGCCCTGCCGCACGAAGAAGCCGCCCTCGGCCAGGTCACAGCCGCATTCTGGGGACACACGGGAGGGGCCAAGGTAGCAGGTGACCACCAGCTCCCCAGTCCCGACGGGCCCCAGGCGTATCCCTCACTACACACAGGCTTTGGTGCGAACTCAGGGTGGCTTGCTGAACCTTCAGGGGGCCAGGCCCCAAGCACAGAGTCCAGCTCCGGCCCCTCAGCCTGGAGATGAGTGGCTTTTCTTGTGGAAGCTTCTAGAAAGGGGCACGGACCCGGGATGAGAAGCAGGCTGTGCTGAGGGGTCAGCCCAGCGCCTCCTCGCCTCCTGAGCCCACCAGGGATGCAGTGCTGATGCCCCATGAGCCGCCCCCAACCCCCGCTCCTCCAGGTGGGCTGTTCCCAGCAGGAAAATAACAGATGGGGAAGGCGGTTCACACCTGAGCACCTACCGCGTGCTAGGCCCTGTCCTGGGTGGGAGGATCCCCTGACCACAGTGAGCCTTCCTGACCCCCCTCCAGCCGTCTCCCCCAACATGGACAAGGCCAGACCCCTTGCAAAAGGGAGAGAGGCCGGGCACACTCACACTGACCCCTAATATACCTCCTGCCCCAGGGAGGACCAGGGGGACGTTGCCAGGCGGAGGATGGAGCACCTGCCCTCAGGACAGGCCCCAGGGCACATGGGAACTGGGCTTGGTTCCAGAGGGAGGAGCCTTCGCGCCCTCCCTGCGGAGGCCCAGCCTGCCAGCCTGTCAGGGCGGGGTCTTTGTGGGTTGCAGCCCCCTAGCCAGAGCCTTGAAATACCACGTAGCCCATCTTTGAATCAATGCCTAAAAATTTTCATCAAAACTTTAACTGATTGCAGAGGGTGTAGTTTCTGGTAAACTGTAAGGAACGGCATCTTTAAATTTAACTGGTAGATCGTAGATGCCGAAGCAAGACCACCGACCTCTGTTTACAAAACGCAGAGACAAGCTCTGAGTAAAAGCAGGTATTTCACCTTGTTCCTCGTTTGCTAGGAAAGCCTATTTCCATCTCTTTCCCCCACAGAATTGCACGCACACGTGACGTGTTTTAGAGATGGAAAGCGCCTATGGCTCTCTGCAACAAAAATCCCTCCATCTGCGTGGAAATTGATTTCTTAGGAATTTCTTATGGTCACAAGGCTCTAAATATTTAATAGCTTATTCTGGATAGGGCTGTTATGACAGCTACTAGTATAAAGCTATCAAAACAACACATATGTTGTGAATTTTGGTAAATTATTATTACGTGGATAGAGGACAAGCTTTTCACAGTGCAGCTCTTGATGACACGGATGGTGGTGGTCGAGGGGAGTTCCTGGTGTCTGATCAAGGGAGCCCCGACTTTTAAACTCCACCTTGTTTGGTGCCCTGGGGGACTGGAAGGCGAGGGCAGCCGAGCAGCCTTCCTGCACTGCAGGTGGCTTCTCAGGCTGGTCAGTTTGGGAAGAGCAAGTGTGGGAGTCTGAATCTCCAAGGGTCTTGGGGTCCCCGGGGGTCAGGTCTGCTTGGTCTGGTCAGCAGTGCCCTTTCAGCTCATGCACCGGTCAGTGCACACAACCCAGGACCTGGGGGCTCCGGGTGGCTCTGCCAGGTGGGCCCCACTCAGCTCAGCTCCCACCCCTACACAGGACGAGGTGGCGGGCCTCTCCCGGGTGTCCCTGTCCCCTCACCTGGGCCACAGGGCTGCACGTGTGTTACCCGGTTACAGCCACCAGAGTGGTTGGAAATCCTTCCTTCCACATCGCCAAGGAGCTGTTGGTTCTTTGGACATAAAGCTGAGCAGCTGAAAGCCCAGACTCCAGGGCTGCCCGGGGGATGCAGGCTCCACTCGTGCACTATGCTGTGTGCCCCTGGGCAAGTCCCTGATCTCTCTGGGCCCCCAAGTCCTCATCTGGGCCTACTCAGAGGTGAGAAGGGCAGCACAGAGGCGCATCCTATGCTAGTGTGACATAAGCCCCAAGTCGTGCGGAGCCACCATCCAGGCCATCGTTTTACTGACGTCACTCACCCCAGGAGGCCCGAGGCCGGTGCCCAGCTCTAAATCCTTCTCTCACCCAGCCCGAGAGTGAAAACCCTTTGTTCAGTCTTGCACCACAGGGCTTCCCTGGTGGTGCAGTGGTTAAGAATCCGCCTGCCAATGCAGGGGACACGGGTTTGAGCCCTGGTCCGGGAAGATCCCACGTGCCGTGGACAACTAAGCCCGTGCACCACAACTACCGAGCCTGTGCTCTAGAGCCCGCAAACCACAACTTCAGAAGCCCGCATGCTACAACTACTGAAGCCCATGCGCCACAAATACTGAGCCTGCGCTCTATGTCCCGCGAGCCACAACTACTGAAGCCCGTGCGCCTAGAGCCCGTGCTCCACAACAAGAGAAGCCACCGCAATGAGAAGCCTGAGCACCGCAACGAAGAGTAGGCCCCGCTCAACGCAACTGAAGAAAGCCCGCGCGCAGCAACGAAGACCCAACACAGCCAAAATAAATACATTTATTTAAAAAAAGAAAATCTTGCGCCACAGCGTAGGCCAAGCAGATGTACCCTGACTCGGGAAGAACAGCCTCCCTGAAGCCTCTGTAGGAGAAATAGTGTCTTTTTCAGTAAACGCTACCTGTAACAATTCAGCCCTTGAGTGATGGGCTGGTTCACGGACACCCTTGGCTCTGGTACTAGGCTCATTTTCTTTCTTTTCTTTTTTTAAAGATTTGTTATTTATTTATTTTATTTATTTTTGGCTGTGTCGGGTCTTAGCTGCGGCACACGGGATCTTCGTTGAGGTGCGCAGGCCTCTCTCCAGTGGCGTGCGAGCTCCAGGGCTCATTTTCTAATCTTCCTAAAGATATGACCGTATGGACTGTTCTTCGAAGGAGAAAACTGTGAAGAGGACCTAGTGCCCCACTATAACCTGCATCTACATCACGGAGGCACCAGGAGACTGAATTAAAGAAGCTTTCCTGCCCCGAGAGCCGGGCCCGGCCAATGCCACGTCCTCCCTGCCCCGCCCCAGTCATCTCTGCTACTGACCGGATTGTAGCTGCCTGGATCCACTAAGGTCGGGGCCAGACAGTAAACCCAGACCTCTGCCTGCTAAAAATAAAGAGTCCAAATTCGTTAATAATTTTGAACGTCCTAATCAAGACAATATATTCTCCTTACATTCCATCTGTCTATCCAAACAGCCAAGACCCAGTGAAGGGCACCAAGCAGCTGTGGGTGACCCGGAGCGGCCCGCCCCCCATCTTTGGCGGTCACTGTGGTCATTTCTGAGAAACGGTCGGGAGGGGGCGGGCCATGGTGGGAAGACAATCTGTACCACTTTCTGGAATACCCTTTGGCATCGACTCAAAGGAATGTGAAAACCGCTCCTACCCTTTGACCCAGTCGTCTCTCTCTGGGACTCTATCCCAAGGAACTGACCATGAACGTCCACAGAAGCTTTCTTGCATGGTGTTGGCTGCAGCATCACTACAGTATAATGTAGTAAATAAACGCTGGGCTTTAGAGACAGGCAGCCTGGGCATGAATGCTTCTTCCTGCTGCTTCCTGGCTGTGTGACCTGGGGCAAGTTACTTAACCTCTCTGAATCTCAGAGTCCTCATCTGTAACAAAGGGTTAACCATACTGATCACTCATGGTTGTCACAATAAATCAATGAGATGAGGCGTAGGAAACTGATTAGCCCAATGCCGGGCTGGAATCGATGTAAACGTTTAAGAGCTGAGGAATGGCTAAGTTTGCTACAGGCCAGGCATCTGAAGGAATCTGGGTATATACTGAAATTGATGTTGAAGGATGTATGATGGGGAAAGGGCTTACACAGTCCCTTAAAGAGAATAAATCGGGACACAAAAGTAAATATACAACAGGATTCAAATTGAAAAGACTCTTACAAAGGAGAAGGTTGGAAGGCTCTCTACCCAAATACGGACGGCAATTCCCCTGGGGTGGTCAGCTCAGGGATGCTCTTGTACTGGTGTCTGGGAAGAGGAGAGAGTGATTGATGTTAAAACACAAAGCAGACCGAGAACCCCAGGGCGTTCATGTGAGTTGGAGGGAGCTGGCTCAGGGCGGCGTGGTCACTGCCAGCCCAGGTCCTGACCTAACCTCTGCCTCAGATGCTCCATCTGGAAATAATAGGCCCACGTCACCGGAGATGCCTTCCTGCTGTGACTTTCCACAATTCTGCCATGTGATCCTGTTCTCATAAATGTCCCTGGAACGCAATCGTTTTGCCCCATTCCCTTGTCACCCCCAGTCGCTAAGACCAGCTCTGGGTGTGGCTCTTCATGGTCCCCATGGGGTTGTGTCCTTGTGGACAACCCCACCTGCTGTTACCAAGTTACAGGCAGAGCTGGTGGCCTCTTCCCCCAACACACACACACACACACACACACACACACACACACACACACTCACACAGAGGCTTCCCTCCCTCCTGTTTCCTTCGCTCTTTCTGCAATCATGAGCCTGCTCAGTCCTGCTGCCACACAGATCAGAAGACGCCTGCTTTCCTGAGGTCACACATGGCTGTGGCCTCATCTTTTCATCATTTCCGAGTCAGGGCCCTTGTTTCCAAGGCACCACGAGCAGGGCTACAAAAGATCCTGGTTGGAAACAAATGTTCTAGGGACCTCCCTGGCGGTAGAGTGGTTAAGACTCTGTGCTTCCAGAACCCAGACCTTCTGGCAGGGGGCGCCGGTTCAATCCCTGCTTGGGGAACTAAGATCCTGTATGCTGCGTGGTGCGGCCCCCCTGCCACAAAAGTTCTAAAAGCGCAGAACTCAACTACACATAAAAGGTCAAGAGAACCAGATTTGTTTTCCTGTGCAAATTTCAGTTGTAGCAGTGGTGACAGATTTCATTTTTCCTTGAGGATGTGCTATGTGCTGGATGTTTGCTATGTTTCTATCTTACACAGATTCCCATTTTGTATCGTGAAACTAGAGCTGGCTGGATTTCAAGACAATTCAGAAGCAGACGCCCCCTCACACTCTCGTCCAAGCTGCCATGGTCTCAGGCTGGGGCCCAGGCCCTTCTCCCCACCCTGCCCTGGCCTCCCCTCATCAGCACAGCACCCAGTGGTCTATGAAACTAAAATGGACAGGATCCTCCTGTGTTCTTTCTCTCGCGGTGTCGGAGCCCAGGTCCTCACGAGGACCCCCTTCCCCCCAGCCTTCCCCCACTCCCCCTCCTCACTCTACTCCAGACACACAGGCCTCGTGCTGTCCTGGAACCTGCCAGGCACACTTCCCTGCTTCAGTGTCACTGCACTGGCTGTTCCCTCTGGCTGCAATGCTCTTCCCTCACCTCCTTCAAGTCTTCAAGCAAAGGTCACCTCCTCCACGAAGCCTGCCCTGATTACCCAATTTAAAATAGTAACTCCCCGGCACTCCCAGCCCTGTCTTTATCTTGCTCTTTGTCTTCCCCTTCCTAGCACTTCACTTTCAGCATATGATGAAATTTGCTTGTTTATTCTATCTAGTGCTTACTGTCTGTCTCCCTGCCCTAGAATGTGATCTCCACAAGGACAAGGATGTCTGTTTTGTTCATGGATGCATCCCGAGCACCCAGAACACTGCCCAGCATGGAGTATGTGCCCAGTCGGGTTGCTGAATGGAAACTGAGGCTAAGGAACATGTCTAAGACCCACATGCGCTGGGGGTGGAAGAGGTGGGAATTGAACCCAGACCTTCTGGCATCAAAGCCCCAAGCTTGAGGCAGCCAAGACGGGCTGGAGAATTATGTGATTTCTTTCACAGATTTTCAGGTTTAGGTAAACCAAGGCACATCAAGCCAGTCCCTGGGTGGCGGGAACCCAACACATCGGGATCTCTTGGATCAGAATTAGACACAATTGTCTTCTGGGCTAACAGACCCTGTTTCAGTTGGCCTGGCAACACACCCACCCAGGGACAAACATGGCTGGAGTCAGTCAGTTCCCATCCTCCCATTACTGTTTGCCGGTGGAGTGGATGTGTGGCCTAGTTCTAGCCAGCGAGTCATACAGGAAGCCTGTGTGGGCTTCCAGGGAAAACCTTCTCCTCCCTGATCGAAGGGAGATTACCCTGATTACCCATTCAGAGTAATCATGCAGGGGGAGGGCCCCTTTGCCTGTGCACACCCCTGCCCAACTTCTTTCCCAGGGCTGCGTGTCAACCTGTGAGGATGTGATGTTTGGAGCTACAGCAGCCATCTTGAGACCATGAGGAGAGGCACTGCTGACATGTATAAGACTGGGGGGGAGTTGGGGGCGGGGAGTGGAAAAAGAACCTAGTCTTTGATGACTTTTTTGAGCTGTTAAATTAACCAGCTCTGGGGGTGAGAAGGCTACCTCCAGAATTCCTGTTAAGCTGATAAATATCCATGTAACTTAAGACATTATAAGTTGGGTCTTCTTTTTTATTCATCCAAGAGCACCCTCAATGATTCACAGACTTTGCATTTTCATGACAGCCTGGATAAAAGATCAATCTAAGACTATGCCACCCTCAAGCTTCAAAAAACACAACTTTTAAAAGCTTGCAGGAAATCTCAGATGCTCCCTGTCACCCTTCAGCAGGTGAAGCAGACATGCCACCTACTGAGGGCAGGGGCCCCGCTGTGCCTGCAGCCTGACACGGCACCTGGCCCAGAACGAATCTGTGGGTGAGTGGATGCGTGTCCGCCCCCTCCTCACTGGGACGCAGACCCTGCTGGGGGCCCTGCACCCCGTCCCTCCACGCTGGGTCTGGGGCAGAGCTGAGGCTCGTGGGAAGGGCTCCCCCGACTCTCGCCAGCTGCTCCCACAGGTGTCAACCAGGCAAGTCACACGTCACCCTTGCTTCCTTATATTTAAGTGGAGACAACGCCTCAGCACCCCCAATACTGGAGGACTTTGGAAAAAAACACACGGAAAGCACCGAGCTCACAGGAAGCGGCTCAGCAGAGGTGAGAGAAGGGTGAGAGATGGTGAGAGAAGGAAGCCTCCTCGGCAGGACCAGCAGGCTCCCTGGCAGCCCCTGAGGTTCAGTCCCCCTCCTTCGGCCCCGCTGCACCTTCCACACTGCACCTCACACCACGGGCACAGGCCTGGCCACCTCCGACGACCCAGCTCTCTTCTTTCTTTGGCTGAACTTAGAGCCGAAACGCCACCTCCTCCGTGAAGCCTTCTCTGGAAGTTCCCAGATCCCTCCCAGTGGGCCACCTTCCCAGCACTCGGCTTCTACCACTAACACCCAACTATTCCCGGCGAGATGGTAGATGCATCTCCTCACCAGACCTCACCTGTCAAAGCTAAATCTCACGCCTTCCTACTTAACGCTTTCCAAAGCCGGGCCTGGTGCACAGTAGGGCCTCCTGAGACCATGGTGGGCTGAGGGGACTCAGGCAGTTAATGGGCCCCGTGGTGCTGATAAAAGCCACAGCGCTGGATTATCTTACACGTGGTGTATTTCCCATCTTTGCCCATAAAGCCCAGGGGCTCACTGCCCCCGTGGCCCGTCGAGGCCCACATGCGAATGTCTGTGCATCTCTGGACGTCGTTTCAAACCCGCAGGAAAGCAGGCTGTGATGACACCGCTTGCTGTCCAGAGGTAAGGAGGGGTTTGCAGGGCCATTAAAAGAATTCTTTCTTTAAAACTGCAAATTCTTTGGGTTTGGACACTGTGTCAAATTGGTTTGATCTGCCCATCCCTTCCCCAAAATGCTACTTTTCATTTATTCTCAGGAAACTAAATGCAAATACACGAAACCCCATTGTACACGACAGAATGCGTAGTAACTTGAGCGTAGGGAGAAAGGGCAGGCTGGAAGGATGCTCCGAGCAAAGCCTGGCTCAGATAGAGGGATTTCACGTGATTTGTTTTACTTTCTTCTTATCTTTTTGGTATTATCTGAATTTAGTGATATTCATGTTATTTTTTATAATCAGAGAAAAAGCCGTGTTCATTTGGAGTGAACAGTAACGTTCTCAGTCCCGCTCTGGGAGGGTGCAGGGGCGCCCGAGGTTTGTGGCCCAGCTTAGGTCCTGTGCACCCTGTGGTGCTGAGTTCACGCCACCAGTGACGGCCATTTACTGTGTGGCTACGGGGCCCAAGTGGCCACTTTGCTCTGGCCAGTGGCTCACGGACATGGCTACGGCCATCCGAGGACACTGCCCCGGACCTGGACCTCATCCTCTGACCCTCCCCATTGGGCAGATGCCCCCGTCACCCCCATAAGGGGCACGGGCCACGCTGAAAAGATCACGCTGTTGTACGAAGGTTTGGGATCAGTTTTTCCAGCATCCCAGATCTAACGAGTTTCTGGGGCCCAGCGTGGCAGCTGGGAGGTGGGCTCGGCCACACGGCAGGGCTGTGCCTGGCCGCATCGCGGATGCGGGTCGGTGCTCACCTTTGCAGACGAAGCACTGGATGTGGAAATACTTGCTCTGCACCCGCAGCACCTCCCCCCTGCACACGTTCCCGCAGGTGTTGCACAGGATCGCGGTGCTGGCCGGCTTCTCCGGGGCACTGTGGGCAGCCTGGGGCTCCGACACTGTGGGGAAAAGGCGCTGTGTTAGAAAGTGGGACATGCCGGGCACCAGTGAGCAAACCAGCGACCGTGCGAGGACTCGGGGCCCAACGCATCTCCCAGCACAACCCAGAAGGCTTCGGGGGACCAGCGGAGGTCGGGTAATGTGAGACCCCGACAGCGGTCCTGTCCCCCACCTCTGTGTGCCCACCTCCCAAAGGGCAGACGATCCCCCTGTGGCCTTGACCTGGCATGACTGTGGCCCTCAGGGGCCTGGTGAGCTGGCCAGTCATTCTGCAGCGAGGGATCCAGGTCCCCTCTTCTGAGAGTGCAATAACCACATCCTCCTGTGAGCTCGCTTTGAATCCCCTCTGTGCCCTGGGCACAGTGACCTGAATATTGTCACTGTCCCCCTTAGAGCCAGCCATGACCTAGGATGGCTGAGGAGGCACTGGAGACCCCCAGAGGGACAGGTCAGGGTGGACGGTCAAAGGGCCCGACTGTGGGGCTGCTGGGGTCTGGGCAGGGCATCACCCACATCCTCCAAAGGTGCCCGTGGAGGCCGGCATGCGGGACGTTGGGGCCCACAGCGGGTCTGTGCTCGGGGAGCTCCAGCCCAGCAGTGGCGGCCGCCAGGTGAGAACCAGCTGCAAGCCAAGCGGCAGAGCTGTGGTCGGGGGATGCCTAGGGGCTGGGGACCAGCTCTGTCCCAGCACAAGGAGGCGGTGGAACCGCAGGCAGAGAGCACAGCCCACGACGGGGCCCCAGCAGCCCGATCCACCCCCCACTCAGGACCAGCCCAAGAAGGCGCAGCCTGCCTCTGGCCAGTCACCTGGGACAACCCTTGTAGCAGCCCCCCAGCCCCCATCAGAGGCCCCTGAGCCCCCTTTTCTCCACTGGGAAGCTCGCCCACTCCTCTGCCTGCCTCTGGGTCTCTGCCAGGCACGTGACGAAGGCTAACCCCCGCCCAGCCAGCTCTGAGCAAACAGCCTTTGCCTTTTGCAAGCGTGGGTCTCTGCTTAGATCCACATCTTCCAGTCCCACGCTCCCGTCTTGGTCTGGGGTCACCGACCTGAGGCTGAGGCAAGGGCAGGGTGCAGGTGGTGCACCTAGGGAACCCCGGGTGGCAGGAAGGAGTGGGGGCAGTGATGGCATGCTGTTGAGCTGGACACTCCCTCGGAGCCCCTCTAGGGCGTCCCTCAGAAGGAAGGGGGCCGGGGCACGGGCCCTGCTCCCGTCACCCCGGTGAGGGTTGCCCCAAAGCTGGAACGCCTGTCTCCCTTTCCTGGGCTGAATGAGTTCTGAGGTTTCAGCAGAGGCTGAAAGAGCCCGGGAGCCGCGGGCACCTGAGGCGGGGAGTCCGCAGGCCCAGGTGCACCGCCCACCTGTACACCGCTGGAGTCATAGGGGGGCCCAGGGGAGGTGGTGCGGGCCCAGAAGACACCCGCCACCTGGGATGCCCCAGATACACCACGCTTCATTGGAGAGTTAAGCGTATTCATACACACACACACACACACAATACACACGCAGAGACACACAGATATACACGTACATACACACAGAGACACACACATACACACAGAGACACACATACACACAGAGACACACATACATACATACACATACACAAAGAGACACACAGGCACACAGATACACATAGACACACATACACGTACACACACAGATACACATACATACACACGAGACACACACACACATACACATACACACAGATACACTTTCACAGAGACACAGATACACATACATACACACACAGATATATACACACACAAAAACACAAATACACATACATACACAGAGACACAACTATACATATGCGCCCACATAGACAGACATACACACAGACACAGACATACAGATACACACACAGACGCACAAATACACATGGACACACACAGAGAGACAGACATGCACACATGCGCACACACACATTTACAAAATCGCTAAACACCAGCACCTATTGAGCATCAGCCCCAGAATGTCTCCTCATTCTTGTAAAAACGGAGGAGGTGGATGTCACACAGAGGAGGGCATTTCTCCATCCAGTTTCCAGCCTGCCCCCCAGGCCCACCAGACCCCATCCCGTCCCGGGAGCCCTGCTTCTGCAGCACAGGGCTCCCTCCTCTGGGTCCCGTCCGTGGTGGGGAGTTTGACCGTGGAGGAGGGCCTGGGCCACGCTGGGGACATCAGGCCTTCCAGGAGGAGGCTCTGAAGACCCCAAGGGTAGCAGGTGTCAGCTGTCTGGGGACAAAAGCCACACAGCCTGGAGAAGCAGGTGCCAGAAAGGAGAGGATGGGCACAAAAAAAATCATTTGGTGTCACCCTTAGTACCCCAGGCCCAGTGTCAAGGCCTGCCTGCGTTTCCAAGGGTGTCAGGACCAAACGGCAAACTGGACAGTGCCGAGCCCAGTGAGGGCCCCAGAGTTCTGTCTGCCATCCTGGGAGCTGTGCTGACACTTCCACTCTGGTTTAAGTGTCAACATACGATAATCACAGAAACTGCCTCATCCAGTACTTAATAAAATTGGTATAAGGGGGCAGAGAGCAAGGATGTCCTGGGCTAGAATTTAGGACTCCCTGTGCGGAACGAGCCATTGGATTTGAAGTTTGAAACCTCAGGTGGAGCCGGCTCATGGCTGTGCAAGGGCAGCCCCAGGGCTCACATGGGGCTGATGGGGTCCTGAGTCACCCTGTCCACACTGAGGCTAAATCAAGATTTGAGGGCGTGGCCACAAAGATCTTTAACACTATTATCTTTTCATCCATTACGCATACAAAGGACAATGTGTCTCATGTCTCCATGAATAGCCAGGCAAAGTCTACCCACCACCCACGTGGAGGGGTGGGGGGGGATCGGTGTCAGAGCCCTGGGCGCAGACGGCCGGGTGCAGCCCAGCTTCACCTCCGACGTGCAGTAACCTGGAACTCCCAGCCGTCTGTCCATCTGCCATCTGCCCTCTGCTCACAGCATCTGCCCCAGGGGATGCTAGGACCATGGGCAGAAATGTTTGTCTAGCAAGCAGCCCAGGGTCCGGCAGACCATAAATGCTCAATACACAATAGCCATTGTCATTTTCAAGGATACACAGCCTGACATCACCAGTTTCCTGGTTACTGGAAATACTGCTTGATTTGGGGCGAAACCTGCTTTAAGAGGATCGTTTTTATGGAAGCACCAACTCTGCCCGCCTGGCGCGTCCTCCACAACCTGCTGGGGCCTCTGGTGGCATGGCGAGAGAGCAGGGTGCTGCCCCCTGGTGGTGGGAAGTAGACACTGCACAGAGGGGGCCTGTCTGTGCAGGTACCACCCGCGCAGGTGTTCCCTCCAGCCCGCATCTGCCCCCTTGGCCCTGGGGTCAGAGCCTGAGAATCCTGTGGATTTGAGGTGTGGGGGCCTTATTACCCCTCAGGATGGACTTACTCCTCAAACCTCCTGCAGCTGCCCGATTGGGTGCTTTGCGAAGGGGACTGGTGCTCACAGCAGCCGGCAGAGCAAGTGCTGTGGTCACTGCTGCTGCCGCCCGGCGAGTGGACTGGGGCCAAGGAGCGGCGGCCCAGCTGGTACATGACTGCAACAAGGAGGGATCGGGACCCTCACATGGCAGGACAGGACAGGAGTGGGCCCCTAGACAGGGATGCGGCAGTTCTGGCCAGACCTCATTACACCAAGAACTATCAAGACGTGAGCTATGAAGCCATCTGAAGGCACCTCAGATGCATGCTAAGTGACAGAAGCCAGTCTGAAAAGGCTGCACACTGCGTGACTCCAACCCTATGACGTCATCAAAAAGGCAAAACCACAGAGACAGTAAAAGATCAGTGGTTGTGAGGGGTGGGGAGGGAGGGATAAGTAGGTGGAATACAGGGGTGAATACACGTCATTATACATTGGTCCAAACCCAGAGAACACTCAACACCAAGAGCGACCCCTGATGTAAACCGGGCACTCTAGTTAATATATCAAAAGTGGTTCATCAGTTGTAACAAATGGAGCACACACAAACATCACAACAATGTAACAGGCAGATGCTAACAGGGGAAACGGGATTTGGGGTGGGGTGTATATGGGAACTCCTTACTTTCTGTTCAATTCTTCTATAAACTGAAAACTGCTCTAAGAAATAAAATCTATAAAAAAAAAAAAAACTTAAAAGAGAGAGAGAAACGGAGAGAGACGCGAACTACCACACTCCAGACCTAACCCTGAGGGCAGCAGGCGCATTTCTCTACAATTTCTGGATCGGCTGGCACTCTAGTTAATATATCAAAAGTGGTTCATCAGTTGTAACAAATGGAGCACACACAAACATCACAACAATGTAACAGGCAGATGCTAACAGGGGAAACGGGATTTGGGGTGGGGTGTATATGGGAACTCCTTACTTTCTGTTCAATTCTTCTATAAACTGAAAACTGCTCTAAGAAAAAAAATCAAAAAAAAAAAAAAAAACTTAAAAGAGAGAGAGAAACGGAGAGAGACGCGAACTACCACACTCCAGACCTAACCCTGAGGGCAGCAGGCGCATTTCTCTACAATTTCTGGATCGGCTGTAACATTTCATTTAACAAGTCTCCGACTGCGATGATAATAATAACGTAAAACATAAAGTCAAGTGGTAAAGGATCAATCACATGGGGCCGTGACTACTTAATGCCCCCGAGATAATGAAATCCCAGCCTGAGGAGCCTTGCTGGGAATAAAAGAACGATTACCGGTAACATCAACACAGAACTCACGTTCACAGTGGAGGGACGTGGCTTCCTCGGGGCTGCCCCGGCAGTCGCTGTGATCCTGCCTCTATAATCCCTCTGGGTACAGTCCTGATCTGCCCCCAGGTACACGAGGCCTGGAGGAACCAGGACAGCAGCCGGCAGCGCCGGGTTTGGAACCCACCCACCATCCAGGGGCAGCTGTGTGACCTTGAGAGCAGACTGAGCTCTGAGAAGCCTCTGTGTTCACGACTGTACTTTGGAGCCTGGTCTCAGGAGGCACCATGTAG